TCAGCACTCAGAGAATGTTTTAAGCAATACCACCCAGAAACTTTTGTAACTACAACTTTTATTATTATACAAAATACTGTATGGGATGAATTAGGGAATGTATGGAAGAGAGAGAGAGAGAGAGTGCTTGGACGATGAATGAATGGTTCTGAGAGGTGCCAGCCTGAGAATGCAGCAACAAAGGGCTGAAGAAGGCGTCAGGGGCCAGTGCAACCAAAAGGTGTCAAGTGGAGAAAAGCAAGTACTGGAGATCCACCCGATGAGATCACTGACGAGCACCTGGCAGCCACCCTGGACAGCAGCATGATGCAGCAATTTCCATAGACTGGCATGGGAAGAAATTCCTATAAGAACTGGACTAAAAAACTGTGGAATCAGAGTCCAAGGTTCTCCTGCCAGCCTACCAGGAGCTTCAGATGCGCATCTGATCAGGACTTCGCTCCCCACTCCCATCACTTGTGTACAGAGTACCCGGCCAGTATTCTGTCACAAGCAACATCCAGGCTGGGAACTATAACAAATACGCAGAACCTGGATGAATAGATGAATGATTGAATGAATGTTTATCTATCTATATAAAAGTGTATAAGGGTTAAGTAGTGATAGGAATAAGTAGCTAAACAACGTTGTTTGCTTCTATCTTTTCTTTATTCGTTATTATTATCTTTACAAAATGTGGCTTTTTGCCTTATCGCCCTCATAAGATCCTGCTTGCTTTTATTGGTACAACATTTTGGTGGAGAATGCGAAAGGGGGAATATTGGTAAAGAGCCTCAGGTATTGTGGACATTGGTGTGCACACAGCTGACTCTACAGATAGCGGTTCTATTTTTTGTTGTTTTTTTTCTTTTTCTTTTTCTTCTTTTTTTTTAAATTTTTTTGGTTAACCAAAGCCTGCTGACCTCCAGAGAATAGAGGCTTCACAAAAGAGCTCATAGTAAATAGAAGCTACGGTTATTTATTGAAATAATCTAGGCTGTGTAATTAGAAGCTACAATTATTGAAATCATTTAGGCTGTAAATAGAAGCTACGGTTATTCATTGATAGTCTAGGCTGCAAAAGTTCAGGGGTAATAAAGGAAACTACACACCTGTTAAAGATGTTTAAGAAGAGTCCAGGGAAAGCAGTCTCAGAGGGAGGCACGGAGTTTGAAGGAGCTCTAACCTCGCCTTTTATAAAATAAATAACACCCTTTAAACAAATCCTTCAGAGATATGGGCACAGTCCTTGGATTGAACATGCCCTTGAAGATATTTGTAATATTTCTGACCTAGAGGATAGATTGGCACAGTATATCCTCATGTACAAACCTTCTAATGCTGCCAAAGGAGATGCAGCAGCAATTTGGCTATTATGGGAGGCATGTCATGATAGTTACCTCTACTTAGCTACCTGCAGGTACATTTCTCAGTACCTTTCCATATAAACTAGCCCAGTCCCATTGGTCTCCATGGGCAGTGTACCTTGTAAGGAGTGATGCGGATACGATGAAGTTGTTTAAACAAATATGTTGCAATGGTAGAAAAACGTGTGTGTCTGAAACCTGAAGGTGGTACTGGAGGTGCTTCTAATTTTTTTTAAAAGAGGTACTTTATAAAGGAAGGTTGAGAAACACTCCCCAAACCTTTCCTTCTGGCCTCCCTGTTTCCTTTCCCCTTTGACAGGTTGGGCAGCTCAGCTGTGTAGCAGGTTCAGGGCCCAGTCACATGGTGGTGGAGGGAGGGGGATGCAAATTTTGCTTTTGTCCCTGGGTTCATAACACCCTCACTACACCTCTGCCTGCAGGCGAGGTCTCTGGCCAAAGGCACCTCCACCTTCCCCCAGCCCCCCACCTCCATGTCTCAGCACCGCCTTCCACATAGACACATTATGGGAGGCAGATGCTGACAGAGCATCCAGGTGTCCGGACTAGGGGGTTCAGGTGTGGTGTGGTGTAAACAGACCCCCAGAGGGGGCGGGTTTTAATTTGGGAGGCCCAGAAAAGCAAGAAGGAAAGAGCAGGCGGGGGCAGAGAGAGGGGCCGAGTGTGTGTGGGGGGGACGGACAGGTCAGTAGCAGCTGAGGGGGAAGTACCGCAGACACCACTAGGGGGAGCTCTGGCTCCATGCCCCCCCCAGCTCTGTACAGCCCCGTGCACCCCGCCTGAGCTGGGGGGGTCACTCGTCCCAGGGGAAGGTCCCGGCCAGGTCCTGCATCCGCTCTCGGTAAGCCCGGCCAAAGCGCTCGCTCTGCGCCACGGTGAAATGGTTCTTCCAGTCGCCAACCACCCCTGTGAAGCAGAGACACGGGTGGGCCAGCGGTCCTGGCGCCGGGGACTGGGAGAGCGCAGAGCCCCTCCCCCACAGCGCCCCCTACTGGGGGAGCATTTCCACAGCAGCCGGGCCATGTCCCTAAAGGTGGGATAAGGGGTCCACAGTGCTGGTGGGGGTGGCGGGGCAGGATGCCTGGGTTCTGTGCCAGCTTGGGGAGGGGAGTGCAGGCTAGTGGTTAGGGTGGGGAAGGGGGACAGTGAGCCAGGACGACTCCCGGGGTCTTTCCTTGGCTCTGCAAAAGGGAGCGAATGATCCCAGTTTGCCCACTAGGATGCTGGGGTCAGAATCTGGCCCTGACCCCACGGCACTCAGGGGAGGCAGGTCTGGTCGTCCCCCTCATCTGCCCCTTCTGCAGCCCCCCCACCCCTCCGACGGGCACCATCTATCCCCGTTCTCCGGCTACACCCCGCAGGCCCACCCTGGCTGCCAGCACCCAGCCACTGTCTCTGGTGTGGGGCCCCCGCTTCCCCTCCCCAGAACCCGGTCGGTACCTGTTCACCCCCCTCATGAAAGGGCACCGCCCTATTTCTACTCGCTGTAGAGCCACCTCCCACTATGGGGCAGGGAGGTCATCCGCACGGGTAACATTTTCATGATGCCTCAGTGTGCCTCCGCTACGGAGCGGGGAGGTCGTCCCCATGGGTAACATTTTCATGATGCCTCAGTGTGCCTCAGTTTCCCTCTCTCCTTTGCTCCGGGTGGGGTGGAGCGGGGACTAGACTGGACGGTGCATTGAGGAACTGTCCCAAGGGAGGCACCGGAAACCCCGACCCTGAACAATTGACGCGCCACGGCAGGAAGTGCCGGCAAACTCAGCGGTGGAATCTCCATGGCAACAGGAGATTCGAATCCACTTCCTGCTAGTCCCTCCTAGTGCTCCCCCCGGGTCCCACACCCCAGCTCCCCACGGGGGGTACTAGGGCTCAGCTTGAGTCAGGCCCCCACCCCGGGCGCTGCCATGTAGACGCAGCCCTGCCGGCTTCAGGCTCCGGAAGTCCAGCCCCTGATCCTCCAGGCCGGAGGGCTCGCGTCTACACGGCAGTGCCATCGGGTGCGAACCCCGGGCCCTGGTTTGACGCAGGCTCGGGTTGCCGGAGGGCACTAGGACGCCTGGGTTCAGCCCCAGGGTCACTCTGGAGTGTGGACGCTCCAGCCAGGGGTGGGTGGCTCCACTTCTACTAACCCTGGGGGGCAGCACCGTGTAGACAGGACCCAGTCTGGAATCGAAGCACGTCGGGGGGGGAGAAAGGATTCCACCGAGCTTGGGTCCTCCAGCCTCCCCCCTACAGTGGGCACATGTTGGGGGAGGGGCTGGCAGGGGGTCACGTTGCCAGGGAGGTCTCACGGCCCTGTCTGGGGTAGTGCAGCCTGGCTGGAGGGGCAGGGGCGAGGGCAGGGAGCGGGCACAGGACGGGCACCGGGACCCCGCCTCTGCCCACCTTTCCTGAGGAAGCTGCCCTTGCTTTTGTCCAGGATGTTGTCAGGCATCAGGCTGAAGTTGGCCATGGGGTTGTCCCGCATGGCCTGGAAGGAGGCGTTCTGCACCACGGAGGCCAGGGCGGCGTCAGATAAATCCTTGCCCAGGAAGCGGCAGATCCGCCCCACGCTGCCCCGCAGGTCCTGTGCAAGGTGGAGAAAGGGGGGGCGGCCGCGTGCCCTGGTGAGGGGGGCACCCGCCTGCACCTCACTGCCTTGTCCCAGCCCCTGGCTTCCTTCAGAGCACCACGGAGGCCAGGGCGGCGTCGGATAAATCCTTGCCCAGGAAGCGGCAGATCCGCCCCACGCTGCCCCGCAGGTCCTGTGCAAGGTGGAGAAAGGGGGGGCGGCCGCGTGCCCTGGTGAGGGGGGCACCCGCCTGCACCTCACTGCCTTGTCCCAGCCCCCGCTGCTCCCCACCGGCCCAAAACCTCCCTTCTCCCCCCTACTTCCCCTCCCCAGACCCCTTCCTTCTGTGCCTCCCGCACCGTTCCCCACTCTGCTGGGAATCTCTCCCCAGACCCCTTCCTTCTGCCCCCCACTTTCCCTCCCAAGAGCGTTCCCCTCCCCAGACCACTTTCTTCTGCCCCCCAATTGCTCTCCCCAGAGCCTTTCCCTTTGCCCCCACCCCCCCTTTTGCCCCCCAGTTTCCCACTGTGCTCGGACTCCCTCCCCAGACTCCGCTGGTCTGCCCCCCCGAGTTCCCCTCCCCAGACCTCTCTTTTTCACTCCCGCAGTTGCCTTACACAGACACCTTCTTCTGCCCCCCTTTTCCCACTCTGGTGGGATTCCCACCCCAGACCCCTTCCTTCTGTCTTCCAGATGCCCTCACTGCCGTCCCTTCACTTTGCAGCCCCTTTCTCTCCCATCCAGCCTAGGCGGGGTCCCTCCAATCCTGGAACATCCTCGACCATACTCCCCACGCCACCCCTTGGTCCCTTCCCCACTGCGCTCGCCCCCTCCCCCTCCTGCCCCACCTCCTGCAGCTCCTCGTAGCTGATGCAGAAGAAGTTCTCGCGGCCCCGCAGCCCCAGCCAGCCCTTCACGTGGTCGAACCAGGAGCCGTACAGAACTGGAAATGCAAAGGGGGGGGGGGATGTCACCCCGGGGAACTGCCCCATACATCGGGGGAGGGGGCTTCCTTCCCCAGCTAGTAGCTGTAGGGAGGATTCCAGAGCAGGGAAGAGAGCTGCAGGCAGAACCTGGCCCTGGCCCGGATGTGACTCTGGATTGAGCCTGGGGGAGCCGAGCTCCGAATCTGACCTGACCCCACTGCAACGAAGGGACGCTCCAGATCGGCTCGACCCCAGAGGAGCTGAGAGATGTACTGGGGTCGTAGCCTGGCTGGAGAGCAGACTGAAGACAGGGTGAAGGCACCCAAACTACAGCTCCCATGATGCACCGCAGCAGTAGGGCACCCGAGATAGACTGCAGTGCCTCATGGGAGTGCCTGACCACAGTGCACCATGAACTATTGTTCCCCTGACTCACTTACCTCTCTCCCCCAAGCTGCCTGGCCAGATTACCGCTCCCATGATGCACCACTGGGTTGCAGTGCACCCTGGGAGATGTAGTCCAGCGGGAGAGTTTCAGCCCATTGAGGAGACTAGGAATGTGAGTGTGATGATGCTTTGGGGTTCTCCCGACTCCTGCACCCCCGTAGTGGCACAAACAGACTCTGGGATTGAGGAAGTTTATTGCTTCTCCAAGGATGCAGCACAGCACAGATGTAATCTAGTTACAAGGCCAGGCCTAGTATGCCTCAGCCCCCCTTGAGATGGGGGAGCCTGGGCCCCTAAATCCCAGCCCCCTTGCTTAGGCTGCCTCTTCCACGATTCCAGACAGAAACTAAAACTCTTCCAGCCCTGCCCCCCAGCCCGCTTTGTCTCTCCCTGGGAGGCTGAGCCTGGGTGTCTGGGTTAATCCACATTTGGGAGTCAGCGAGAATCAGAAACTTTCTGCATAAAAATGTGCTCCCCTCCTCCCCCCGCTATGGAAAAATCTTTTTACATGGGGCCCAACACAGGACCCGGAGGCCCATCCCCCGTCCAGCAATAAATTCTGCCCCATGCCAGTCTCCACATCAGTTCTGCCCCTCCCCCGTCCTCCTGCCCCTCCGGAGGTTCCTTCCCCCCTTTCCAGGCTGGCAGGAACAGAGGCTCCTTGCCCCACAGCCAGGACTGGGGGTGAGGGCTCCCCCTGCCACCCTACATACCACTCACCCTCCCCTTGCAGGAAGGCACCCAGTAGCTCCTCCAGGGACTCTGGCTCTTCCAGGAAGCTCATCAGCTTGGAGAAATGATAGAGGGAAACCAGCAGGTCCTTGGGGTTACGGACGGTGTAGATGACCTGCAAGAAGGTGCATAAGTTATAGTAACCCCAGTCCTAGGGGGCTGGCAGTCAGTACCCCATAACCTGTCCCTGGTGGGGGGTGGTCGCAATTGTGAGGAAGCAGGTTATAGATGAGGGTTCCTTGCTCTAACCACTAGACCCCACTCCTGCCCCTCAGCTGGGCGAGAACCCAGGACATCTAGAGCCCTCTGGGGTAACTACTAGGCCACCGTGCCATAAGCAGAACCGCTGCCCTTAGGATCCTGGAGAATGGGGAGGGTGGAGCGAGACCCCTGAGCCTTCTCCCACAACCAGGTAAGGGAGCTACCATTTGGGATCCCGGAATGGGGGGCCGGGGAGCCCCTCATGCCCATTTCACCTTGGCTTTGGAGCCCCAGAAGGATTTGGGAAAGAGCTGGATGGGCAGGTGGGAGCTGATGCGGCGGGGAGGCTTTGCAGACTTCAGCTTCTCCAGAGCATTAGGGGACTCGAGCCAGGGAGACCGATCCCAGATGGGCACACTGCGGCACCAGGACGGGTCTCCCTGCTGCCAGATGAGGCTCAGGATCTCCATCATCCAGTTGGTACCTAGGATGGGAGCAAAACACAGGTGCAGCCTGCTCCATTCCCACAACCGGGGAGAGACCCAGCCCCACCCTGCTCTAACCACTAGACTCCACTCCCCTCTCAGAACCAGGGACACTAGAACCACTAGAACAGGGCTGGGGAACCTTTTTTGGGTCAGGGCCACTGGCTCACAGAAAAATCAGTCAGGGACTGCAAACAAGTGAGAAACAAAAAACAAACCAACCAACCCATCCATCCATCCATCCATCACCAGGAACCCCGAGCCTCTGGGGATGGAGCCAGGCAAGCCAGGGGCTGCATCTGGCCCCCAGGCCTCATGCTCCCCAACCCTCCCCAACTGGGGAGAGAACCCAGGAGTCCCGGCTTTCAGCTCCTCCTGCTCTAACCACTAGACCCTGCTCCACTCCCTGAGCCAGGTAGAAAAACAGAAAGATTTTACCCCTGGGTTTTTGCTGTACATGTAAGACGGCCCCCAGGCTGTAGCATGGGGTGGAGTTGAGGAGATTAGAACAGGGCAGGACTGGGAAGTAGGGTTCCTGGATTTACTCCCCAGCTTTGGGAGGGGAGCGGGGCCTAGTGGGTGGAGCTGTGGGGCGGGGAGGGTCCCTACCTGACTTGGGGTAGGTAACAGTAAAGGTGTCGTCATCCAGCACCTGGAAGTGGTTCCCTACGAAGTCGATGGTCTCGGGGTCATAGATCTCTGCGGGGAAGGGGATCCCCTTGTGGGAGAAGCTGTGTCTGAGCATCACGGTGGCAGCTCCCTGTGGGCGGGCAGAGGATCTGGCTTAACGGCGCCGCATTGCCTGGGGGCACGGCCTGCCCATGCAGTCAGGTGCCGTATCCCGGGGCAGGGGGCACGTGGAGCCCACTTCCCGTCCTAGGGCTGAAGACAGAGCCCAGGTGACCTGCTTCCCAGCTCCCGCCCCCCACTCCCCAGCTCTAACAGCTGGGCCTCACTCCTCTTTTAGAGTCAGGGATAGAACCCAGGCATCCTGGCCCCTCTCTTCCACCTGGGACTGTCCTGGGCACCACCTGGGGCTGTTGAGTCCTAGGCCCCCTGCACGTCCCCAGGACCCCAAGAGAACTCAGCCCTAGAGGAGACAGGTCCCCAAAAAACGTATCTGCTCTGCCGAAAAAATATTCAGCAGAGCAGACACTTTCCTTGGCAGAACCATTCTGGATGTTGGTTGACACCTGTTCTGGGGCTCAAATTGGCCTCTGCCGTCCAGCTCTGCGGTTTCTCTCTGCGGTTTGGTTTGGAAGCTTTTCTGGGTGAGCAGGGCAACTTGCAAGTGTGTGGCCCAAGGGGATTTTGCAGTGACCGGGCCCAGGCAGAGTCGTCCGGAGCAGTGTTTCTCAACCTTTCTTTTTTAGAAAGTACCCCCAGTACCTACAGTTCTCACACACCCAACTTTTTATTCTACCATTGCAACACATTTGTGTAAACGTTCTCCTAGCCGGGCGGGCAATGACATTTTTGGATGGAAAAAGCACAAAAACAATAAAGAACTGTCAGCCTTAAGCAAACCTTCCATTTTCTTCAATTTTCAGTTGTGGCGATGCACCATCCCCTTCCTCCCCCCCAGACGTCTCTAGAGTACCCCGGCTTCTCAGGGAATCCCTCCTTTAGGGCTGGCGGGCGGCTTTTCCCCAGGAGCAGCCAAGCCACTCGGAGACAAAAGGGATCCTCTCCAAATGGACTTTATCCCTTAGCAAAGAACATGGCGGACTTTTCTCCTGGCACAGTGTCTTCCACACAGGACGAGAGCGAGCGCAAAGTAATTTGTTCTTTGCGCAGCACCCGACTGCAATTTTCCCGGAGACAGACGGACGAGGGTCTCTCTTCGGTCCCGTTTCATCACAAATGGGACTAGCCCCTCCTAAAGCGGCGGTGGGGGCGGTAGATGCGGGTGGTTGGTTCCCCCTCCCGAGACCAGAGCAAACGGCTGCTCCAAACGAGGCACCTTTGCAGCCAGAGTTGCCGGGGCCGGGGAACCTTTTTTGGGTCGGGGGCCCAGGACCCAGGCAGGAATGAGTCGGGGGCCGCACACAAGTGAGAAGCCAAAAAAACAAACCGACCAAAACACCCAAACAAACCCCACGCTGACCCAGGCCACCATTGAGAAGGACTCTCCCCACAGTCCCTCCCCACACACCCCAGAGTCTAGGGAAGCCCAGCCTAGTAGACTGTGTGTGCTCCAGCCTTATGGTGATGTGCAGAGAGGAGGGGCGCTGGAGGGCTAGTGCTGGCTCCCCAAGGATAAGGGGGGGCCCCTAAGCCTCAGGGGCCCGATCCAGGCAAGCCGGGGGCCGGATCCCGAGATTTTCCATCCTTGCTCTAAGCTCATGTAGCACTTCTCCTTTACTGAGGGGTCGACCCTCGGTTAGTCGGCCTGCGAGTGGTCACTCCCTTCCAGCCGCGTGCTCCCTTTTAATCCACTGACTAAAATGTCAAGCTGACAACATCATAATCAGCCACCATTTGGGGGGGGGGG